TCCCTTATTCTTGGAAGCCTCTTAGTGCAATCCAGGATCACATTACCTTTAGGCATTGACATTTCACTTGTTGATTCATATTGATCTTACAGATCACTAAACCAACCTAGATCTTTTTTATAAAAAAAATGTCTATCTGTGCTTTCTCCATCTTTCTTCCTTCAACATATACTTGTGTGTATACACATGCACACACAACAAGCATCATAACATTTAATAAATGTTTGTCGATTTGAATTTAATTTAACCCAGCAAAAATCTACCACCATCCCTGCCATCTCTAGTCTCTAACTTCCCCTTAGATACTTTCGTCCAGTCATTTCCTCATATAATGTTTGTTTTTCATGGTATTAGTTCCTCTTGTAGTATTTAGTTCCTCCTTACAGTATTAGTCTGCACTGATTTTACATCTATGCATTCTCATGTCTCTTTCTATGTGTTGTTTCATCTATTCAGTTTAAAATTATATTCTATTTCACTTGTACTTTCCTATAGTATTTCACATGATGCTCTTTAAATAGTTCATGACCATGACTAATGTGGAAATATGTTTAACATGATTGTCTCTATGTATAACCTATATCAGATTGCTTGCTGTCTTCGATTGGGGGAGGAAGGGAGAAAAATTTGGAACTCAGAATTTTACAAAAATGAATGTTGAAAATTATCTTTACATGTAATTGGAAAAAAATACTATTAAGTGAAAAAAATAGTTCATGGCCAGCATAGTTTGTGGATCAACACAGATACATGAATACAGAAGTTAAAGAAAAAACAAATTTCCACATAATGAAAGGAAATGAGGTTGTGAGGAATTTAGGAAAGCCCTCCCTGCCTTTACCCCCACCAGAATGAAGGTGTTAGCAGAATGAACAGAATTAAGTTAAGAAAAGGTTGACACATTATTAGCCAGTATTAGTTTAGGCCTCTGTGGTCTTATTTTCCATCTGATGGAGTAAAGGCAGTCTTGTCCTTTGAAGCTTCCATCATGCTGACTTATATTTTCCTCTTTTCCTGCTTGAGGTCTAAAAGTTACCAGTGGCATGGTGAAAGGTCCCTTATAGTATATAAAAGGAAATTGTTTTTTATGTAGCATCTCAGGTTATAAGCTTCAAGAGGGCAAGAGGTAGTTCTGCTTATTTTTTGTTGTACAGTACCTACAACAATCTCCTGTTCAATGAGATAGTATTTTGACTCAACCATTTTAAATTAAATCTCTCAAATAAGTATGATTTACATATTTTCTAGTAGGAGACAAAAGAATAATTCTGAAACATATCAGATTTTCCTAATATTGTGTGCTAAGTTTGTGACAAATTATTTGATTAATCTTGATAAAAATATTTTATGTACTTTTGCAGCTGATGATACTTTATACTGTATAGTTGATAAGTATTTAGTATTGATATTAACCTATGCTACATCAGGTTAATGTGTTTTTCTTCTCTCAAATAGTTTCTTCTAGATTAAGTAAAAAATGAAACTTCATTTAATTTTTTAGGTTAAAAGTTAAAATCAAATCTATGAATTTTCTAAAAATTAAGAAGAGAAGAGAAATAGTTAATTGGGAAAAGAAAATCTTTGTAGCAAGTTTCTCTGATTATGGTCTTATTCCTAAGATCAGGAACTAATTCCAATTTATAAAAATAACAACCATTCTCTAATGATAATTGGTCAAAGGATATAAACAGACGGTTCTCAAAGGAAGAAATCCAAGCTCTCAATTGCCATATGAAAAAATACTCCAAAACATTAATAAGTAGAGAAATGCAAATTAAAACAATTCTGAGATTCTACCTCACACCTATCAGATTCATACAGTTTACAAAAAGGAAAATGACAAATTTTGGAAGGATTGCAGGAAAACACGCACATTGATAAACTATTAGTAGAGTTGTGAGTTGGTACAGCCATTTCAGAAGGCAATTTGAAGCTGTGACCAAAAAGTTACTGAACTTACATAGCCTTTGATTGAGCAATAGCACTACTAGGACTGTGTCCCAAAAAGGTCAAAGAAAGAGGAAAAGGTCCTACGTGTACAAAAATGTTTGTAGCAGCTCTTTTTGCAGTGGCAGAGAACTGGAAACTAAGAAAGTGTTCATCAGCTGGGGAATGGCTAAATAAATTATGGTATAGAAATGTATTGGAATACTATTTCATAAGAAATATAATAGTGAAATCTTGGAAGACTTGTATGAACTGATGCATAATGAGATGAATAGAACCAAGAGAACAATTTATACTATAGCAACAACATTGTAAAAAGAATCAACTTTGAAAGACTTAAGAACTTTGATTAATACAATGACCAGCCATGATTCCAGAGGACTAAAGATGAAAAATGCTATAAACCACCTGACATAGAGGTGATGGACTGTACATGCAGAATGAGACATTCATTTTTAGACATGTCCAGTGTTGGAATTTGTTTTGCTTAACTGCATATTTGTTACAAGAAATTTGTTTTTCTTTGTCCTCATCATAGGGGAGAATAAGAAGGACAGAAAATATAAGTTTTTAATTGAAAAAAAGTGATTAAGGGTGGTATTCCTAGATAGGGTGGCCCTTGGTGGTATACAGAAAAGGAAGTTCAGAAATAAGCAGTAACATTTTGACTCAGACTCAGGGAATGAAGCAGGATCGAAGTTCCAGAATCTAGCCCAGTCTGCAGAGGATTAACAAGGGCAGGAATCCCAGATGAAAGGGAAGCCTGCATTTATGTCACTCTGAACCAGCAGAAGTTCCTAGCTTGCTGAGAGAGACCGAGTCCAGCAGTTGGACTATTGTGCAGACCCAAACCCAGGTCAGGAACTTGTAGAGCTCAAACCAGGTAGAAAATGATCAGACTTTGCCCTAGATAGGCCACTTTGGGAGCACTGAAAGCTTACAGGTCCCCACCTGTCCCTAATATACTAGAATAACACAACACTCAGTACCCCTAAGAAAGCAGCAATAGGACCAGCCCAGACCTTCCCTCCAGAATTGTGGCATAAACTAGCCTTTACATCAAATCCACAGTCAGGAAGTAGGCTTGGTTTTTCTGGATATAGGACATATCTCTTGAAGTACCTATCCCTCTGCTCAAATTTCCTTATATTTTAGCTTCCTAACTAGAGGCAGAGATCCAGAAGATTAAATAGAGAAACATACCAGGCAGCAGCTAAAGATGGAAAGCAAATCTTTACCGTCACTTATAGTCACTTGATTGTGTTTCTATATTCTATATTTACTTTTCTTACAGTTTTGTGTGTGTCTTTTCTTTCCAACAAAACTGCAGACTTCCTAAGGGCAGGTACTCTGTTGTATGCTTCTCTTTTTGTTATCCATAGCATTTAACAAATTCCTAAATACAGAATAGTTACTCATTGAATACCTGTACAAATAGGACTAACAGTGGAAACTCAGGGTTGATTTGGCAAGAGATGTATATGTCAACTGTTGTCACCACTATAATAAAGGTTATTTGGTCCATATTCCTTTTTCTAGGGCAGGTTGAAATGCTGTTGCTTTTGACCAGAGGCCATTACCAAATCTTTCTCTAAATGAACCTAAACGTATGTGATCTCAGGCACCCAGGTTTCTAACCCACTAAATACATCCGTGGAAAAAAGTTTTACGTATGAAGAATTCAGAGGAATTTGGGAAAACCTGCATGAAAGAATATAGTATGAAGAAAGCAAAAACAGGAGAACAATATACACAGTGATCGTGGCCATTTTAAGTAAAACAACAATAGAATACCTTAGAAATTAGTTCATCCCAGAGGACTGATTATAAAATGTACCTCTGTCCTCTCAGGAGAAAGCCAGTGAACTGGCTTGGCGTCACATGGCTATAATCTCTGTTTCTGAGGGAAGTGTGGCTAAAGATGATTGAGTGTTCACACCAAACGCAATTTTGTGTTCTCACCAATGTAGTGAGCATCTTGGAGGGGAGGGCCACCAAACTACCTAAGAGGGTCAGAAAAACAAAGTAGGTTAAAGCTCTTGTGTCCATCAATATTGGGACCATTGTACTTGTAGTCTAGGTGAGATACAGAGACCCAGTGTGGAGGAAGGAAGGAGGAACAGAGGTAAAGGAGAGAGAGGGAGAGAACTACAGATATGGAATGAGGACTGTGCTGTCAGAAACAATCTATGCTGCTTTCTTTCACTTACATGTATTTTGTGGAGAATTAGCAAGAAAGAAGTTAGTGTACAGGGAACAGACATGAGGAAGTAGGGTACTAGGCAGTAATTAACAGGCATTTACATTCATTCAGTGGTGCAGAGGTTCCACTGAACTCAAAGTATCCATGACTACATTTTGTCCTTTCCTGTGGTTTCCTTTCCTTGGTGGTTTGCACTGTCCCTTTGTTGCTCTGAACTTTCCCCTTTTTAGTGCACACACAGGAAACTGGCTCCTAAGTACAGTCTGTAATGATTAGCATGTATAGTATTCATCCATGTGGGTACAGTGTTAGGTAAATGTTGTACAGAAACTAGGTACTTTTAGAAAATGAGATCATGAAGTTTAGGATTAACACTAATTTTGCAGGAGGTCCTGGCTTTTGATGAGGAGGTTCTTTAGTACTCTAGGACTTGATGCTGTTAACATCAGGTGCTCTCAACATCACCTGCAAATAGAAGTATCCAAAAGAAGTCACTTTCTATAGCATGAATAATAGAGTAAGCTAGGTGGCTCCGTGGATTCAGCATTTCAAGATATGCATTCAATTCTGGCCATTTGCACTCCTAGGTATGTGACCCTGGGCAAATTACTTAATCTTCATCTACCTTTGGTAATTGTTACTACAGGTGATGCTTTATGTTCTGTTTGGAGGAACTGCTGGATATTTGAAAGAGACTTGGTGCTCAGTTCATTTGGTAGTCCAAGTTGATGCAGACAGTTCTGACTAGAGTTATGAGTCCTCAACCTACAAATAAAGTGTAGTTTTGGTGCTCAAGAAGGTAATCACTTCTGTTGATACGTGTTGATGTAATGTCATTTTTTTCATACAGGATTCACCTTTATTTGATCTCATTAAACAATCAAAGGAACGAGAAGGACCAGTTGATCACCTCCTTGAACCTACTTCTACTCTCAATCTGCCTCTCCAGCATAATCACACTGCTGCAGATCTGTAAGTATATCATTAGTCTGCTGCATGGCATGCCCACCTTCTTTTCCAGTCATGTTTTTCCTGGGTCATGTCTTTTACGCATTTACTTACACGCAGTCATCATTGGGAACATACTGAAGCCTACTCGTACCTACCATGTAAAATGAGGGATTGGGCTAAATGGCACCTGAGGTTCCTTCTCGTTCTAGATCTGTGCTCCTGTTTGCTTCTTTACTGACCTGTGAGTCACCCCCATTTCTGATTCTTTGGATAATGTAGTGTCATGCTATGCAGCAGCATCACCGCTGTTTATCTTAATCAGAAGAACATTGGTGTTGAAAAGGGATTAACTTTGGTATCAGGGAGGAGCTTAGGATTGTTGAAAGTACACCTTCTCGAACGCAGTCTAGCTTCTTCTCCTCCTGCTACAAAATGTTGGGCATGGCTCATTACATCTGTATGAAGGTCATAATAGATTAATGTGAGGATTTGCCATTCCAGCTGTATGCTATAAGGTAAACAATAGACATTTACCATTCATTTGGTTTTGATGTGTATTATTAGGCTGATATCTTTTGAGTGGTCCTGGCTTTTGATAAGGAGGTTCTTTAGTACTCTAGGACTTGATGCTGTTAATATCAGGTGCTCTCAACATCACCTGCAAATAGAAGTATCCAAAAGAAGTCACTTTCTATAGCATGAACAATAGAGTAAGCTAGGTGGCTCCATGGATCCAGCATTTCAAGATATGCATTCAGTTCTGGCCATATGCACTCCTAGGTGTGTGACCCTGGGCAAATTACTTAATCTCCATCTACCTCAGTTTACTTTAAAATGGGGATAGAGCCCAGTATTGCCTGTGCCTTAATATCCCTTACCTCCAAGGGTTATTTGTAAGGTCAAATGAGATAATGTTTGTATTGGCATAGTGCCTGGCATATAATAGGTGCTTAATAAATAATAGTTATGTTTTTACTTCCTTCTTGACTTGGGATCTTCCCCAAGGGATTTATGATCAGACACAGTTGGATACACTGTACCTTGACCAAGACATAGTGATATCATTTTGGTCCTCTTCAAGCACAGAGGACCATGAGTAGATTATAGGAGGTCCATGAGTGGGTAAAAATACATATTTATTTTCTATCTGAAATGTAACATTTCTTTCAATTAGGAATTTTAAAAAAAAACTTTATTCTGAAAAAGGGGTCCATAGACTTCACAAGATCACCAAAAGGGTCCTTAACACAAAAGAAGTTAAATACTTTTGATATGTAAGGAATTCCCCTTGCATTTGGACTCTGCAAGGCATAGTATATGACAAAAATGACTTTGACAAATGAGATTTTAAATCTCATTTGATGTTGATAGAGGGTCATAGACAAATATATCTCTATGTTTGTACATATAATGAATCTTGGATAATAGTAACATAAGCACAAGAGACAACTTGTTGGAGGAGAGTTTTTAAAGTTGAATTTTGCTCTACCCATTCCTCTCCACTCATTTATGGAGGTGGAAGGTCCACAGGTATTACACATTGCATGTTTTTGGACTTTCTTGATATAACACTCAGTTGTGCTGATTTTATTTTTTTCTCTCTAAAAATACTATTTTGTTATATGGGATGGTTCTGGGGGACAGGAAGGGGAAGGGAGGGAGATAACTTGGTATAACTATAAGGATGTAAGAAACAGAAGACATCAATAAAAGTTTAGGTTAAAAAAAAGAATTTTACTATGCCAATTCAAATGCCTTTTTATAATCAACCAATGCGTTTCATATTTATGCTTTTTAGTCAGTTGTGTGACTAAAGATGTGTTTTATATAGGAAATAAATTGTGATAGCTCACCTTTTCCCTTTTAATATTTTTATCAGATATATACCAAATGTATATTCAGATATTTTGAGAACCAATCTTTCTAAAATTCCTTTGTCTTTAGAACAATTCTCCTGTGTGACCTTGGTCTATTCTTCCTGACCTCATTTTCTTTCTTTTTTAAAAATTTAATTAATTAATTAATAGTTTTCAACCTTAACTTCCGTAAGAGTTCCAAATTTTCTCCCCCTCTTTCCCCTTCCCACACCCCAAGATGGCGTGCAATTTGATATAGGCTTTACATATACATTCATATTAAAATATTTTCACATTAGTCATGTTGTAAAGAAGAATTAGAACCAATGGAAGGAATCACAAGACAGAAGAAACCAAAAAAAGAAAAAAGAGAGAGAGAGAGACATTGAGAGAGAGAGAGAGAGAGAGAGCGCGCAAATAGTATGCTTCAATCTGCATTCAGACTTCATAGTTCTTTTTCTTGATGTGGATAGCATTTTCCATCATGAGTCTTTTGGAGTTGTCTTAGATCATTGCATTACTAAGAGGTAAGTCTATCAAAGTTAGTCACCACACAATGTTGTTGTTGCACGTACAATGTTTTTCTGGTTCTGCTCACTTCACTCAGCATCAATTCATGTAAGTTTTTCCAGGTTTTTCTGAAGTCCACCTGCTCATCATTTCTTATGAAACAATAGTATTCCGTTACATTCATATACCGCAACTTGTTCAGTCATTTCCCTATTGATGGCTATCCCCTCAATTTCCAGTTCTTTGCTACCACAAAAAGAGCTGTAAATATTTTTGTACATGTGGGTCCTTTTCCCATTTTTATGATCTCTTTGGGATACATACCTAGAAGTCGTATTGCTGGGTCAAAGGGCATGCACATTTTTATAGTCCTTTGGTCATAGTTCCAAATTGCTCTCCAGAATGGTTGGATCAGTTCACGTTCCAGTTTTCCCACATCTTCTCCAACATTTGTCATTTTCCTGTTTTGTCATGTTAGACAATCTGATAGGTGTGATAGGTACTTCAGAATTGTTTTGATCTGCATTTCTCTATTCAGTAGTGATTTAGAGTATTTTTTCATATGACTCTGGATAGCTTTAATTTCTTTATCTGAAAACTGCCTGTTCATATCCTTTGACCATTTATCAATTGGGGAATAACTTGTATTCTTATAAATTTGACTAGTTCTCTATGTATTTTAGAAATGGGGCCTTTATCAGAAACACTGGTTGTAAAAATTGTTTCCCAACTTTCTGCTTCCCTTCTGCTCTTGCTTGCGTTGGCTTTGTTTGTGTAAAAACTTTTCAATTTAATGTAATCAAAATGATCCATTTTGCATTTCATAATGTCCTCTATCTCTTGTTTGGTCATAAATTCTTCCATTCTCCATAAACCTGACAGGTAAACTATTCCTTGCTCTTCTAGTTTGCTTATAGTATCAGCCTTTATATCTAAATTGTGTACCCATTTTGATTTTATCTTGGTATGGGGTGTAAGATGTTTGTCTATGCCTAGTTTCTGCCATATTGTTTTTCAGTTTTCCCAGCAGTTTTTGATAAATAGTGAGTTCTTATCTCAGAAGCTGGAGTCTTTGGGTTTATCAAATAGTAGATTACTAAGGGACAGTTAGGTGGCACAGTGGATAGAGCTGCAGCCTTGGAGTCAGGAGGACCTGAGTTCAAACCCAGCCTCAGACACTTGACACTTACTAGTTGTGTGACCTTGGGCAAGTCATTTAACCCCAATTGCCTCACCAAAAAGAAAAAACAAAAAAAAAATAGTGGACTACTGTAGTAGATTATATTACTATTGACTACTGTCTGACCTCATTTTCTTAAGTGCCATTTCTATTTATTGTATAAAATGTGGGGGTTTCACTTTCCTAGATGATAAAAATAATAATAATATCTAGCATTTATATAGTACTTTAAAGTTTGCAATTCCCTTTACATATGTAATCTCATTTGATCATTATCTCTCTTAGAATGCTTTCAGAATTGTTCATTTTTTTCAACTGTGTGCTATTCTCTTAATTTCATATAGAAATGCTTTTTGGGATGATCTGGCTTAATTGGGTCTCAAACTAAGCTTTCTTGAGAAATTGTTTTTCTTCTACTGCTTTCTCTTCCCTGCTTGATGCAGAAATTCTACTCACAATTTTTCATCATTCTCTTCTTTAATATTTTGCAGATGAGTTTTTTTCCTAAATCATTTTTGCCCTTGGATGCCACAAGGACATCTCTCAACAAAGATATAACATTTCCTGGCTGAGACAATTTTTAGCCTATTTTGAACATTTCATTGTTGTGATTGCTTTACATCAGTTAAACTCTGTGGGAAAGGAGATAATTAGAGATGATATCTTTTCTTTTATACATTTTCAGTATTAATAGTTTGTTTGAATAGGTCAGACTAGGGCTATTGGAATTACATACCGTGTCGTTTTTCATTCTTTCTCCTCTCTTCCAATTTAGGGTCAATTTTGTCAAATATCTCATGAAATTGTTTCTTATCTTTAAGGAGGAAACCATCCTTCAATTTAATTACAACTTTCTTGTCTTGCTAGTTATAGTAAGCATGTTGTATTGATGTGGTTAAATTCTTCCAGTACCATCTTGACTTCTTGATTTCTTCTAATTTTAGCTGCATTGGTTTTGTTAATGCAAAAACTTTTAAATTTTACGTAATCAAAATTTTCCATGTTACTTTTTCTGAACTGCTCTATCTTTTGTTTGCTCTGTGACTCTTCCCCTATCCATATGTCTGGTAAGTAATTTCTTCTATGGTCTACTAATATATGCTGAAGATATCACCCTTTATGTCTAAATTATGTACCCATTTTGTACTTATCTTGGTTGAGATGTTGATCTCTGCCTAGTTTCTGACAGACTGCTTTCCCATTTTCCCAGCATGTGTCTTGGCAGGTAGACTCCCAAATATTTCATGCGCTGTGTAGTTATTTCAAATGAAATTTCTTGTGTCTTTTCCTGCTGTGTTTTGTTGGTAGTATACAGAAATGGTGATGATTTGTGTGCGTTTATTTTATATCCTGAAACTTTACTACACTTGTTAATTGTTTCAGTTAGTTTTTTTAGTTGACTTTTAGGGTTCTTCAAGTAAACCATCATATCATCTAAAAATGATAGTTTTGTTTTCTCATTGCCTATTTTTATT